TTTATGTGCTTGATGAGTTAAGGAAGAGATGTGATATATTGTAGTGATAAATGAAAGTGAAGATAATTAGCCGATGTGCGGTAACCTCAGAGATTAATTGAACGCAAAGATCAAACGCGAAGAGTAACGCCCATTTCGTGATTAGATTTCATATATAAGGAGACGTATCATTCTCATTTAATTGATCAATCGTTTTTAGCAAAACTATCGAAAAATGATCGTCTATTTGATGGCGGTTGTTTTGGCCTTATCATTCACTTCAACGTTGCCATCGGCATTGGCTAAAACACCAGAGTATGGTTAGTTTCTGGACTTTGTTCAGTTGCAATTTTACTTCATCTTTGACGATAGCTCATGTTCAATGGCAGTAGGGAAAAAGATATCAGTAACAATGCTAAACGAACGGGTTGCATTGTGTGCTAAGTGATTCATCCCAATGAACATACTCAGTTAACGAATAACAGATTCAAATTATCAGTGACTTGGTAAGATATACAATATGAAAAGATTGATAAAACTGATTGATAAAGTATAGCTTAAGTTTAGCAATGGAACCACTTGTTTCATTTTTAAGTGAAATTTCATTAAATTAAAGACTACAATTCTTTTCGCAAATTCATCTAGTTTATCTCTACTTCAAACGATCAGTTTGCCTTAGGCCAACAATAGAAGGATTTGAATGATCACTTTCAATCACTCCTCATTTCTTCAACTGCTTTCCTTTTTGTACCAACAATGAATGGCTCACTGATATACGATAGTCGGAATTCGAATGATCTTCGATTTCAGTTTATTTTATTGAATTCTGACCTGAGATCGCGTGGAATGGATCGTAGCCGTTTCAGTTAGGGATGACAGCAGCAATTTCTTCNGCATTTCCGATAAATCATAATCTTTGTAGTCTTGATCTACGATAGGAAATTCTGGCCATAATGATCTATTGAGTTTTAATGATTTTGAAACGATCAACTGAAATTGTTGGAATAAAAAGCTTAAATCGTTACCGTTATCACTGTAATTATTGTTATTATTTGAATAATTCTTGGAATTTCGTTCACTTCGTATATTTTTCATTATGAGCTTGTATTGATGTACTTCAGCGATTGAGAAATGCTGTGGTGTTAAATACACGGAATGCTGCATGGATTCGTTGCGTTTCACTCGACCGTTGCACTGTGATGGTATGACGTTGAGGGCAAAAATCGACGTTATCGACTGCATTCAGAGTGAACTGCATGGCGCATCTCAACTCAGTGTTCTGAACTTCACCGGTAATATAATATGAATATTGCTCTGATTCATTGAATGATAAAACAAACATCTGAAACGTTCTTAAACAATCGCTTCTGCCAACTAAGCTTGAACAGATGCATGAACGTTTTGAGACTACCGAATTTTGAAATGAAACGGGACTTTTGTGATTCTTGAGTGAGATTCTTCCACTTTCAGTAGAGCTTAGGCTAACAGTTCCCAGTTTTAATCCAGTCAGCAGTGGGTGACCATTGTGTGTATTCTCATGTCAATGACGGTCGTCATCAAGATGGCGTGAATCGGCTAAATGTCACTGTTTAAGTTGAACGTTTCACATCTTTGATCTGACCGTCCGTAAATATCGCATAGTGTTCAGCAATGAAATCAATATTCAGTCTTTTTTAGGTGTTCGTTTGCTGCATGCAGTCAAATATAATTACTAGAACTAGTATTGGCCTCGTACTGATTAATGATGGTACCGAACGAAATTTTATGTCGGTCGCAATTCGACCGATTTCATCTTTTGAATTTCCGACAGCTGGAATACCAACCAACCTTAGAAATTGTTTGGTCGGAATCCGATTGTTGAAATTTCAACTGAAATCGTCGGATTTTCCGGACGGACCGTCGATCGGATGCCATCACTAGTAATGGTACTGATGTTTTGAATAGCGAATTGTTAAATATCTAACGAGTCGAAATTAAGATACGACGTGCTGTGAGGTGTTTGCTGATAACGATAACGATCTGAATTCGGAATGCGAGAATGTTTGCGTTTCGGTGATGCAAATGGCTGGTTTGAGGAACGATCAAAAGTTAATGAAGATCAAAATGTGTCTAAGACGGAATCCACTTCATCGCGTTAGTCAATTGGTTTCATGTAATATGTTCAAGTTTTAACTATTATTTTCCAGTATTTTGGGATATTTCATTCCAATATCGGATCATCTGTTAAACATTGTGTACATTTGTTCAACTACATTTATTGCGATAAATTTGACGCATTTGATGCAGTTCACAGCTATGAAATCGCATAGGACGTTTGAGAAGATGTATTGAGCGATTTTGGCTTCACTCAGGGATCGAATTCAGACTTACAACCGTTTTGCATCAGTATGTATGAATGAAAGAATGTGTGATAGATATGAATATGGTATCATATTTTGTGATGCATCGAATGAAACAGCCAAATATTTCAGTGTTTTCTGCGATGCGTTCAGTGGAATCACAGAACGAGTGATCC